AAAAATAAAAATAATCTAATAGCACCACTGAGCAAAACAACTTATGGCAGGAAATGTGCACAAACTTGTACTGCGAATCTTTGCGAGGGAGCAAAGACGAGCCCGAACAACTGTGCCCTGAACGCCGGTTGACCATGCTAAGTAAATTACTTTTTAAACTTTTATCTGCAACAAATCACAGTACTTAAGCTCGATGAAGCTGGGAACTCTCCAGTGTGGTTTTCCCGTTTTTAGAGAGGTGCTTGGATGTCTGTCACAATGAGCGCTCGAGCTGAACCGTATCGCTTTCGTGCTCGAGCCGAGCTCCCTAACCTACGATCTGCAGCCGCGGTCTTACGTTATACCGTGCTGTGATAGCGAGGGGGACCGTGCGGCATTGTCGCTTGTCACTTTTGACTTTGACAGCGCCGTGTCAGCAAGCCTTGGTGGAGATAAACAACTTTCGAGTATGCCAAATTAATTGCATGACAAAGTTGATCGTATAAGGAAGGCTGAGTGGTTGCAGAGAGGCTGGCTCAAGCCCGCCCCATTTGACTGGACTCTTAATTTGCTTCCGGTTGTCTCTTTTATATAATTGACATTTTTGTGGATTTAAAAAAATACAACTATCGTAATCGGGTCCACTGAAGTGGTGTTTAGACAGATAATTCGTTTAGCGCATCCGATGAGTGTTTGATTGTTATTTTATCATTGTTATGTAAATTGTGACATGTAGGCACAGTAGTAGCATTACGAGACTTGTATTGTTTTCTCAATAATGGCGTGCAGTACGGTCTGCTTTACCAATACCAATACTTATTGTATAGTGTGATGTATAGTCTTGTGCTTTCTGGACACCGCATGATATACATATTGAAGTGTGGTGTGTGTATTTTACCCAAGTATTTAAGTCATTTGCATTCTCCATACTGTTTGATTTTCTGGATGTCTTAAGGTTAAAATTTCTGAATTATACAGTTGAAGTCCAATACCTTTCTGCGTAGAGGAAATGGATTCAATGTGATTTATTAAGCTCTCTTTTGCCACGCATGTACTATGTACAAAATGCGCGTTGGCGCACCGATATTCGGTGTACGTAACGACCTGCCTCTCTGTTCCAGGCCAAGTCAAGCGGCTCGCCGTCTATCCAGTTCCTAGGAAATGAAGGGGTGAGTACATGTATCCAACGCCAACTTGTGTGGCGATACGTATACGATAGCGCCATTGGCGATAACAGCGTGACCGCGCCATGTCTGCTACGTGAGCGCCCCAGAATGCAAGCGTTTCGATAACTTCTGATGCGATATTTATTTTTTCTGGTCGGCCTGTGCTGATGCAAGGGCCACAAGAACAAGACTGCCGTCCTGTGCGCCCGTCTGTAGCCCTGCCTGCGCGAACAGTACTTTAACCTGATTTCCACCCACCCACATCTTTGTTTAAAAAATGATGAAACGAAGAAAGTATTTAGTTCTTGTGTTTCTGTGCGAATCTCGCAAATACGAGTTGACTCAAGAGAAACGGAAACTCTGCTCTTTCCCCCCATGGTATTGCATGATTCGCGTCAAATAATTAAAAGGAATAAACCATTTGTTGGCTCATTTTAAAGAGCAAGTTTGCAAAATGCCCAGAACAATATGTCGTTCCAAAACGCAAAACTTCAACATGCACATCGTTGAACAAGCAACGCATTTCTCACCTGATCCAGTTGCACACTTTGACGGTACGATAGTGCAACGCCCGCCCCGGCTGCGACGCATCATTTGCGCTGATGATGGAATGGTCACATCTCGCTTGTTTCGCGTGCCTGTCCGCTGCCTGTGGCCCAGTTTGTATTGTTTCAGCCGGCGGGTGTGTGGGGCGCGTTGTGTGCATTGCAGGCAGACTGGCCTGCTGCTGCCTCTGCACTCTGCACCCCCCCCCCGGCCGGCCGTGCCAGACCCCCCCCCCCCCTCCCCGATCCCGGCCGGCCGTGCCAGAGGCACTTCAGCCCAATTTGAATGTGATGGCGGTGAACTGGAGGGCGGTGAATTGGACAGGTTTCAATGGACGCGCTACGCATGCTCCCCTTCCCCTCTTCCCCCCACCCTTTCCCCCTCTCGGCTCGGACTAAAGCTCTGGCGGATGGCCATCACATCAAGCCACGAGAGCGTGATGATAGCTGGACCGTTGTAATATTAATATCTGAGATCGGTCTGCTAGAACGGGTGTTACGATTATGATCTCATTCCCATCAATTTCGAGCCGTTTAAAATATTGGCAAGAGTTACGCGCAAGAGGGCCCGTTTGACGTTAAATTCACTCTGGGTGTTTACAGAAGAAATCGTTGCAATGCTAGTTTTAAAATTGACACAAAACTCACTTCAATATCCTCGTCTAGTTTCAGGGCACACGCCAGAACCTTTTCTTTTCTATTGTGGTGATTCGAATTCTGTACTTTGCTTGAATTCGGGTGGAATTTTCGAAGAGTTAGCCTGCTGGCTTGCCTTCCAGTCAGGCTGGCTGGCCAGCAGCAGTACCAGCAGCAGTCCTGTGCTCCGCCACGCTCCGCCACGGCTGTGGTGGGCTGCCGGCCTGATTCCAAACTGGTTTGGCTGACCTCTCCTCTCGCTGTTGTCGCGTGGCGTGGCCAGGCGTTGCTGTATACAGGCAGGCGGCCGCAGGCGTGCTACAGGCGGCCTGCAGGACCAAAGACTACAGGCCACGGGCCACAGATGGCAGTTCACTAAACGACAGGCTTCGGGCTATAGGCATCAGTCTAGCGGTCACAGGCCACAGGCGAGGGTTATGATCGCTTCACATGCCAGACTCGAAATGAAAGCTGCCGGCGGTAATTTTTTTTCCCGGCCCCGCAAGGTGGTAGAAGCTGCACACCAGCACGCACGTTTGTTTGGGGGGGCGCTTATTGGGAGACCACGTTGCATACGCCCAGCTCAGCTAGCCAAAGCCGCGCCCGTCTCACCTGCGTATGTCTATGGGAACGCCCAGTCCACGTGAATAACGCGGAAAATTAGTTATCGATCAAGATATTTTGTTTCTTTTTCTCAAGCGCGCTTTGGTTTGGAGGCGCGTGTGCTCAATATACTAGAGGCAGAGCCATTTTTATTAGTCCTACGCGTTGTGTGGCAACCAAACCGCAACCCTCGTTGAGCGCCTCTGTTGTAATTTGTACCTGTTGCCCTGAAATTTTGAACATGCGGATACAGATTTAGCTGGACTCTGGTTGGCTGAACCTTGAGGTGTTCGCACCCAGTTCCTTCTTCGGTTTCGAGGAGCGCGGGTGAGAGAGGTCAGGTCGGCGCTGCTTGTCGGATTTGTTTGCGGCGATGCGATTGGCCCCCGCATGCATTAACCGCCGTGTACAGCTCCCTGGCTCCTTTCTCCTCTTCTCTTCTTACAGCCGTGCGAACAAGTCCTTGCGAATGGCTGGCGTGGGGTTGGTGCCCGGCTCGCGTAACTGTGTAACACGTGTCCATCCGCCCTGCTGGGGTAACACGTGTGCGTACCCGTGCGCGGTGCGCGGTCATCAATTTTATTGCTCGATATGAAGGTGCGCGGTGTGTCGATCGCGAAACTTTCTGGCCGTCAGACGCTGGGGCGTCTAGGCTGTTTCCTGCTGGTCGTGAACATTATTTTTTTTGTTTCGTTCTGTTTGTTTAGTTGATTCTGGTAGGTTCGTATCATAGTTATTTTCTTTGCGAGAAATTGCCATGTCGATAGATGCTGGCAGATCTCTTGAAGTGCCTTTTATAATTTTTTAGGTTTCAAGAAAATCATTGAGTATCAGTTTCACTATTTACTTACAGTTTATTGTTGTCTTTTCACTGTACGCCGCAGAACGTGATGAGGCGTCGTGCGAAATAAGGATTTAGCTTCTCACGTGTCGCCCGCTCGTGTGGCAGGGGCGCCCGGCGAAAGGGCGAAATGCGAGGCGAAATGTCTTGGGCGGCCGCCTCCCCCCGCGGGGCCAGGGCTCGGACAGACAAGTACAGTGGCCGCTGCGGTCGAAGACGTTCCAAACAAGCGTTTTATTTTTATTTTGCGTGTTCTTTTGCATTTTCCCCTCCCCCCAATCGGACGATGTTCAACTGTGTACCGAAGTGTCCGCCTAACGGAATGTCCTGAGAGTCCCCGGTTGTCTTGATATCAGAATTAGCCTCTCGCAACAGCCGGGGCCAACCAACACTACCCAAGGACGCGCCCCAGAACCGGTTGATATTGGTCATTTTTGGACCACTCCGCGGCCAGAGTTTGTTAAGTCTGGTTGCAACCGTATAATACGAGCCCGTGCTGATGACTTGCCTATTCGCACGGGGCCGTAAGGGATCGTCCAGAAAATACGTCCGTTTTACTCAGATGCATTCGACAAATTGCGGGAGCCCAGCGCCTGCGGAACTCAGGGTGGGCCACCCCGCCGTGCACGCATGCACTGAATGCAAGATGTTGCCTACCTATCAGGCGCTATGACACCTTGCACCTTGCGCTGGCTTGACTTAGTAGTTTCGTAGCGTCAAATGAAGGTCGTACTTTCTGGACGATTCCTATGGCGCCATGGCCAGAGACTGTAGGCAAACCCGTTCGCACCCGAGCATGCGGTCTTGTAATATGCATTTGCAACAACGGACGAGGGCACGGCGTTCATAAGAAAGAACGGCGCCGATGGTCCACTGCGTATATTGAACCGGCATCCGGCTTTCGTGATCCTACAATTGGAGCCCATGGCGGCGCACTCGCTGTATGCAACCGTTATTGGCCGGCCCTGTGGCCCCGCGGCGCGCCTCGCGCCTGCAGTCCCGGAAGTGATCCGGCTGCTGGAGGCTGCCGTATAGGCTGGCTGTGCGCGCAGTGTGGCGGTGGTGGCGGCGGCGGGGATCTCGGTGTATGAGAGATTTATTGACTGATTAGCAAAATTAGTGACTAGAGAAAGTCGCCAAGCGCATTACACACCCTGCCCGGCGAGTCTAGCCATCGCCACAACAGGAACGTCCGACGTGCGGATGAGGCTGAGAGGAATTCCTGCCGGAGAAGCGACGATAAAAACGTCCCTTCGTGCCTCGCCGCGTACCGCCAGCATCATCATCGTCGCCGTCGCCGCTGCCGCCGGCCTCAAGACAACCGCTGGGCCGACCACCATTTAGAATAAAGACCGCGCCGCATTAGGAAATAAAACCACACCTGGTTGAATCCAATCCAATCCTTAAAAATACCCTCGAAAGACTGCTCTCGTTCTCGGCGTCGTCGTGTCACATTTGCCGCACTTGTGTGTTGCCACAGCTGACCCCGCCCGAGCTTCGCCATTGGCTTTGCACGATAACTAAATGCGCATTGAGGCGGCGCGTCGCCCCACGCCACGGCGCGCCGCCACGACAAGTCACGGATACAGGGCCGCCTGACGTGCGGCGGGGCCCGTGTGCGCGCCCACGCTGCGAAATTAGTTCGAAATTGGGTGAGGTGGACGGACGGCCCCGCCCCGCCATTGGTCTTGTCTTGGCCGCAATTTTGTGGGACGCAAATCCCGAGTCTGCAAGAAGGGGTGGGAGGGGAGGCGGTGCGTGGGCGAGAGAATGAGCAGGGAGGATGCGGGGTTACTGTTTCTGTATACTTATGGCTGATCGCCCAGCCTGGCGCGGCGGTGGCCAGGCCGGGGCCTGGAGGCTGGGTTGGTCTGCCGAGTACCACCGAGGGGAAAAGAAGGCAGGGGGGAGGGGCGGGGGGCAGAGACTTGCTGACCTTCCGTGGCTCGACCGGGCTCGGCTCCGCGGCGGGGGTTCTGAGCTCGGCTCCGGCTCCGCTCGGCTCGGCTCGTCACAGCCTCATGCTGCTCTCTCCTGCTCGGCTATGATCTAACTCTGAAATGAACGGACCATGCCTTTGGTGGGCCCCATGAGCTCGCTGGGCTCTGCTCCGGCAGCCGAAAACAGTTTCCTCTGCTCGCAGCTTTTGCACTGGACTGGCTTCGCCCGTAGAGTGACCGCCACCTTCAGGGGAAGCCCCCCGAGGAAAGGTTGTGCGGCTGTCCTCCCTTACAAATGTGTATAGATGGAGACTGTCTTGAGACGAGTTTTGTATTGTTAAGACACAATAGATGCCACTGAGACTTCTATACGACGCTTTCTGGAGACCGTTTCAAAGACAGCATTGAAATCTCCTACTCACTAAAGAAAAGAGATAC